AGCAAAATGGATTCTGGTCTCCTAATCCATACTGCAAAGACATTTGGGGCCAAAATGAATTGTGAATCGAAGGAGCTGGAGAAGCAAAGTTCGGGCTAGTGTCGCTGCATATTGTCCCTATAGTGTGATAAGCCTTTTGAACTTTGGTTATCATTAACTGACTGAAAGGTCTATGACTGAAACCAATTAATTATGGAATGTCTTTGAAACTCCACTGAGCTGCTGGTGCTACTCAGCAAGATAGGCAGAACGTGTGCGAGAGCACAGAGGGGAGGAAGGTCTGTTCTCTGTGTGGATAACTTCTGTGACTGCCTCCCACACACTGTTCTGCTTCTTGACCTTCAGTCTGTTGCTCTCCTGCTGCCTGCTCACCTGACACAGCAGAGGAAGTATCTCAGCTCCTCACAAGGCACCAGCACCAATGAGATCCACCAGGCTCCTCTCGGCTGCCCCCACAAGGTGCCAGGCAGCCCTTCCAGACACCCTCTATGCTTTGTAACCATGGGTGTCATGACATCTGCCAGCTCCAGGCAAGCACATGCTGTCAATTAGAGTTTTCAGGCCCACACTAATGAAGAGAAGAGATGTTGCTTTTGAACCAGATTGCAATTCAAGCAGCAGGTCAAAAAGTGCAGGAGTCTGCAAAGGCACCTAGTATCTCCAAAGGCACTGAGGAAAGATGAATAGGAGGTTGTGTGCTGGCTCATTTCTTGATTGCATTGGAAACTATTCCTGATGATACTGCTAAATAATCACACTGTACCAACTGCATGCCAGGTGCTGTACACAATGCAAAACGGAACAGCTTTCTGCCCCAGGGTGAAGCAGTCTCCGTTAGGTGGTAAGAACCAGGGAGGGGATAACTAACACCTGGACTCTGTGCTTCCTCTTAACGGCTCAGAATGATTCAGTGTTAATCCCCCCCATGTGTCCTTTCCTGAAAACACTAGAAGTTGGGGGTCCCCCAACTAAAGTGCTCAATGTCAGAAATGATAAAAGCACATATTCTCTGTGCAACAACTTATTCCCTCAATAATTGATTGCAAGAGTGTCCAGATTGCCCTTAATTTAAGTGTCATCATCTTCTTCTTCTCCATCATCATCATTATCTTTTAAAGATACATTCAAAGAGGAAAGGTATTTCTGTTTCACTGGAGGAATGAGTGAAATGGAAGGAAATGCCTTTATTCTTTCCCTTCTGTTTGTTTTGAATGCAAGACAGCTCTTTCTCTAGTTGTTTTTCACCTTGTTGGAGAAGAGATAGAGGTACCCAAATATTTTCCTCTACTGGGAAAAATTAGCTAGGGAGAAGGCCATTTTGGGCAGGAGAAATGGGTGGGAAGGGTTGAGCTAAGCATCTTCTCCACCCTGATGTTGCTTTGCTGAAACTTGCAGTCTCAAAGGATGCATTTCTTCAAAGCAGGAAAACTTTGGAGAAAAAGATAAGCAAGGTTGTGTGTAACATGTAGCTTGGCACCAATTCTGATCACTAGTCCATGGAATCCAGCACTGTCTGCTCTATCTATCAAAGAGCTCCAGTCAATTTCTTTCCTGCCGTTACTACCTTAGCTTCAGTTTTGATATGGGCTGCCGGTGACTACATTTGTGATACAGACACAAAAGGCTTTACTGTTAATTTCAGGAGCACTTTAATTCTATTTCAGTCAACAGCTAGAGGAATTTGGAAGAGAAGCCACCCCTGAATGAAGACATATGCAAGGACACAGAGCTTCCACAGTCCCTACGGGTCTGGAGCATTCGGACAGATTGGTTGCAGCCTGCCACACTGCTCAGAGACAGCATCTGCTGGAAATGTTATCTTCTTAGCATTAAGCAAAGGGGCTCAAGTGGTCAGACTAGCCATGCTACAAATACCCATTTCTAATGAACAAGCCACATCAGCCCTGTTGGGGATAACCAGCCCAGACTGATAATGGGTTTGAAAATATTATGGAAAGACTGCATATACATGCTGATGTCCAGTGTAGTCACCCAGATCATAAACATACATGCCATGTTCAACTAGAGATGGATAAATTAAAGTCTGTTCTGTCTCTTTTTCCAGGTTCATTCACCTTTACTTATTTTTGTAAGTTCTTATTGTACTTACTTTCTGCCCAAAATATGTGTTTGTGTATAATTGTTCCCCTCAAATACACATTTCTGCCCCCTTCTATACATACACATGTGCACACACACACACACGGTAGGCTTTTTCCCTTACAGTATGGAGGTTTGTGGGCACTTTTGAGCCACAAATGACACTGCAAAATTAAGGGGGGGAAGAACAATCCAGAGAATAATGATACATCTTCATATAGTATTAGTCCATCAGGCCAGCTCTTAAAAATTCAAATCAAACAACATTCTCAGACATTCCTCCATCTAACTGTGATCAGCATTGTGCTTCTAAGAGTGATTCTCCTTTGAAAGAGGAGCCATGCAGAAAATGTATGATACAATGATCAAACATGAGCTGGAGTTGCATTTTTTTAAAAAGACCCCTAAATATCCTTTCCCCCCACTGAAAATTAATATAAACATGGAATGGCCTGCATGTCGGAAGGCAGACACACAGTTCAGGACAAAGTGTATAGCACAGGCAATGTTCATGGTGCTGGTACTTTATTCTCCATTTACGTGCTGCCTTATCCGCTAAGCCATCAAGGAGGTAAACAGCATTTTAAGACATAGTATCATTAAGCAATAAAAAAGGCCATACAAATTTTAAGCCGTTCAGACATGGGCACAGTGCTCTGAAGGAGGAGGGTGCAGGATTCTTCAGATTCCCACATCGCAGGTCAAAGGCAGTGCTCAGACCTTGGAACTGGGACCCACTCCAGTTCCCCCCTCTCCCCCACCAGCCAGAAAGAGCGCCAGCTGCTTGAGCAACCTCAGTGCAGGTGTACAAGGGGAGTGGAACAGTACTGGGAGAAAAGCCTCTCCTAAAGGTTAGCTTGTTTTCGGGGCTTTTTGGCCCTACCCATTTTGCCTTTGGTCCCGAATGCAACCTGCAAAGTGGAATTTGGAGGCTGAAAGATGTTCCTCATAGCTACCCTAGAAGAACACGTCTCTAGCTATCCTGTCTAACACAAGGACACAGGATGTGCCTGGATGCAGTAGGAATAATGTTGTAGTGGCAAATGGACACACAATGTTGTGAATACTTGAGTTGGCTCCTGCTAATAATGATGAACACAGAACGTGATGATCTAGAATGAGAAGTCAAAGGGTGAATTCTTTATTGGCACAGAGGGAATTCACTGGGGGAGGCAGGCTCTCTTGTGGGACTGCAGATTTTTCCAGGTCTTAAAGGACAACTGAAATGAACAACACGACTCAGACATCTAATACGTTTTGCAAAGGAAGGGAACAATTTGAAGTTCTGCCAGATGCCACCTCTGGATTTGGCAGGTTGAGTGGGAAAAGAATCCCCATGTCAACTGATGTTTGAGGGGGACTGGACTGCTAATAGAGAGTACGTAATCAGGATAGGAAATCTGGTGAAAGCTGCTCCAGTAAATTACCTATCTCTGCAGGTAATTTCTGATTAGCTTGCTCCTCTCCCCTTGGTGCTTTGGCTGTTTCCATAGCAGCTAAATCCTAAGTAAAATGGAGACATCTGGTTCAAGCTCAGGTAAAGCTCCCTTGGGGGAAAGAAACAGGCTGGATGACAGCAGAGAAATAAAACCTCCTTGCAGAAAGTGAGCAGCAGCAGCAGCACCTGAAAATGTCACATAGCAGCTGGAGCAAAAGCCCATGGGCAGCTGGCTGGGCCTGGAGTAGTCAATTACCCTTGCAAAGGAAATCAGAAGCAGATAGACAATCACTTTGGAATTAGATGGGTTAACACAACAAGGAGGCAGGGAGCAGGGTGTGGGCACACCTCGAACATTTCAACAGTCTAATCAAAACACCTTTGGCTTCCTTTGAGATCTGTTACATATTACACCCAAGCAAGGTCTCCAAATTCACCTTGACATTTCAATTTAGAAAAGGAAAGGGAAAGGGGAAAGGGAAAAAAATGAACTCTTCTGAAATCTGTAGTTGTGAGTCATGCAAAACAGTCATGCAAAATCTCCCTGCGTCAGGTTTGGACTCTGGTTTCACACTATGGTCTGACTTGTCAGTCTGTTTTTATTCCCTCCCTCCTGAAGTCAGAGCTGATTTGACTAAGCAGAAACAGAGGATGGTATAGCCCTTCCCAGTTTGTATCAATTTACGCTGCAAGTCTGGAGAATGAATGTTTGAACACTCACACACACTTAAAAACAAACAAAACTCTCTTTGTACATGGAAAATGTGCATGTCGGTGGGAATGCTAAGCTAAAATGCAAGCTCTTTACAGGCAATCTGTTCTTTTTCATAGCTTTCAAGCACATGATCCACAGCCAGAAACAGATATGCTTTTTCTTCTACGTATTTGAGCTGCACACACTCATCCATTCCTGAGCATGGAAGTATCTTGTGGAAAGAAAGAGGTTCTACACGGCAGTCAGCTGCAATGGGTAAATGAATGGCTACACAATTCTGTTGCGTGTTTATGTGTCATGAGAAAGCAACTGTAACCAAATGTTCAGGAATAAATTTATAAAACTATGTATATGCACACACATGTGCACATACCCACACTTTTTAATGGTCAGTCAATATACATACTTGTTAATGGTGGTTCTCAAGGGTAGTATAATTGATTAGAGCTCACCACCACCACCACCAAGAATCGATGATCTAAGAAGCACAACAGACTGCTTCTGAGCACATGTGACACAGCCATTGTGCTGAAGATAGGCAAGTTTAGATAGGGTCAGGGTTTGGATGGAAAACCATCTGGTAGCCACATGTATGCAGCTGTGAGTACCATGATAGCGGAAAGGTGGGATATGATCAATAATAAAAAAATTAATTTAATTGCTCCAAAGTCTGATAAGTCTACCGTCAATGAATCTCACCATAAAGAACAGGGAGATCCCTGTGGCAGGATCCATACAGCCTCTTACCTTTGGGTGAGATATGCCTCCAAGTGATGGCTGGGTCTGGCCTGCCTGTAGCTATGCAGGTGAGACTGACGTTGCCACCTTCATTGATGGAGATGTCTGAAGAGATCTCGACAATCTTGGGAGGTACTGCAATGACATAAAAGCGAGGATGGTGTGATTCTGCGGCTCTTTCTTTCTGAAAGAGCTCAACAACGGGCCATTGACTGTGGATTTTCTGAGCAACAACTAGACAGAGGATGACTAATCAGGTAGTCAGTGCACTAAATCCAGCTCTGATGCAATTTAACCACCTCCTGCAGGGCATACCTACTTTTAGCCAGGAGGTAATAACATTCTTGCCCACCTTTTCATGCATATTTTCTGTCACTGTGACACAAGCGATTCTGAACTGGGATTGGCACAAAACTCACCTGAATCCATCCCAGTTGCCTGTCAGTCTTGAGCTGCCATCCTGCCCTCCAGCTTGTGATACATCTTTGCCAGGGGCACAAAAAGGTATCACAAAGGCTGTGGCAGGTGGCATGGAAGATGGATGCTATTTGGGCATGAGCCTGAATCCCTGGTGAGCCCTGTATGAATAACATTCTTCTGGGTCAGGGGCAGCAAGGATTCTGCACATGGTGAGGAAGAGGAATGCTCCTTGTGCAGTGCATGGCGCTGAATACCTGATGAGCACCCCACAAATGCTTCTGTCCTAACCACAAACTTGGAGCCAAGTCCATGAAGCCAAGCTCAGGGAGCCTGTCAGATATACACTTCCAGTATGGATTCCTCCGCACCCCTACTCCAAATCAGTGAGATGCTTTTTTTGCAATAAATCCCATGGCATGAATTTATTGGTTAGTCTTTAGAAATCATATTGCTGATGGCCTGCCTTTTGCTACAGGCTCGTAAAATAATTCTTTCTGAAAATAATTCTTAGAAAAAATAATTCTAAGGAAACTGGAACCTCTTAAAGACCAAATTCCCTGACATTCCACACTAAGGTAAGAGACAGGTGCGATTTCCAGTGCTTCTGCAGCAAGGGAAGAGATCCTAGTAAAAGAGCTGACTTACTCAGACACCCTACAGAAATCTGATCCAACTTTGCACTGAGCTGGAATCTGCAGGGCACTGTGAGTCTTGGCCTTGGGATCTGAGCAACTCCTAGTGTAGCCACCAGCAGTGGAAGGATCTGAGCCCAACTGCTAATGAGACAATGGAAGGAATTTTAGAAGAGAACCTGAACAACCATCTCCATCTCCGCAGAGGTCAAGATCAACCCGGCAACTTGGATCCTGCTGGGTATTGTGAGTCCAGGTGTCTTGACAATAAGGGTCCAGGGTAAGATCAGACTGGCATCTAGTGTACTCCCCCACACAGAGAGATCCCAGTCTCCCTGTCTTGGAATCTTTATGCCGCATGAGTTGAGGCATTGGAAAGATCAGAAGTTAGGAATTAGCCTTGAGCCAGATCAGTACTAGGCACCTCAATTAAGAAACACCTGGAGTCACAAGAACACACAGGCTATAGTGCAGCAGCCCTCTTCATAGCAGGTTCTTGACAGTAAAAGTCCAAAGAGAAGGCAACTGCCTGTTTCCTGTGGAAACACTGGAATAAACAAAGGCAGAAAAATCTTAGATTCCACAGGATGACTAGAGTTCCACAACTGTCCCGATGACCAATTATGAGGCCCCCTGTAGGAGTAACACTGAATGCAGACACAAGTCAACTGCATTATCTGTGGAAACTACTGTGACACCAAATCCACATCATTTTTTTCTTCGTAGTGACCACCACTGCCATGGTATTTCTGAGGTTTTCACGGGAAGTCTAACCTTGGTGGAGAGGGTTCTCATGGACCAGTAGAGGCAGGCAACCTGGGCTGGGGGTCGGGATCCATCTGTCCCGTCTCCCCTGCCACCCTCACCACCTGCATTCCTCTCCACAGGCCACACTTTCAGAACTTCCCCATTCCAGCCAAATTAGTGGTGGCAAGGCAGTTGGTCTACTTTTGGCCTGTGTACTTCTCCCTGGTCGTTTTCAGTCAAAATTCAGTGGCAAATCTTGATTCCCTGCATGACATACAAAACCAGGGACCCCTGTACCTGTGCCACTCCGTGGCTCCTCCGACTCCTCCCTTTCTTTCTTACTGACTTTATATCCCGAGCACCTGCTGCCTTTAGCCCTCTAAATATATACAACTGCAACTTTTTTACACGATGCATTTACTTAGCAGTCCCAAGTGTTTCTGAGTGATAAGTGGCAATTAAATGCATTAATTAATAACTAACACAGACTTCTTGTTTATTAATCAACATACATGAATCCTATTTTCTTTTTTTTTTCCTTTTTTCTTTGGGGGGGTGCTCTGCAAGGTGGCTGGCAATGGTCCAAAGCTGCTATTGAAACTTCACATGCAAAACTATCAGCCAATAATTCATTCAAGGAACACAAGGTAAAACAAAGAATAAGCCATCAGCAACAAAATTCAGCAAAATAACCACTCAGCAGAATAATCAGGAAAGGGAAGTGTTCTATACTTAGAGGGTGCTAAGTGCTTCTAAAACGAAATTGTCTTTGCTTGTACTCTGAAGTCCGGCTATAAGCAAAAGGTCACAGCCACCCCTGTCAGGAATGTCCCCTTGTTATTCTCTCATACAGAACACAAAGTACCCTTTTTCTCAGTGGTTTTGCATGGGAGGAAAAGTTATTTAAGGGAATTCTAGGACCCTGACCGGGGGAAAAAAACACAGCCGTGGACTTGGCACCACTGCTTTCCAAGAGCGCGGAATCCCCGTCATCACCCTGCATGATGCATCTCTCCTCTCCTACTGCTGACTCCCACATGTTGGTGACTGCATGGGCTCAGGCATTTCCAAGGGAGCTGGCTAAGTGCACAGCAACTGCAGTGGCCTTGCTTGCATTGCCGCTGACGTGCAGGTAAGTAATTTATTGATCCGTAAAGCACTCCAAGACGCTCAGGAAGGGATTATGTCATGCCAACGCCGAGCAATAAAATAAAAAATGATGGACTTTTTGTGAACACGAGGGTGATTTAGGGTTTGTAGCTGGAAGTGTAGTTAAAGTACATTTTAAGTGGAAATCAAGGTAGGTAATGAATTACTCCACGTCCGGAAAGGCTGCTGGGACTTCATTTTCCTGGCTTCTGACTCAAGAGCTAATATTCTCACTGTACACTAGAGGACAACAGAGGATCAAGCACAAAGCAACTGAAAGAGCCTTTGAGCTACAGTAGGGGATGATATTAAATGAGACACAAATGTATGCATATGCATATTTTTGCCTGAACTGTAATCTAGTGCACGTGGGACATGGAATAAGGGATAGAATGTGAAATCATTGCTCCGGCATTGGAGATCAGAAGTCTGGGTCTGTACAGTTGTCATTTAATGGCAGAGCATCCATTATTTCTATCATGGCGACAGAGAGTCGGAGGAGTAGAGTGGAAACACAAGAGAAAGCAGCTCCAGGCCCTTTACTCCATGGAAGAGCGGCAATGCCATCGGCAAGGTAACCGGAGTAACCGATGGGCACTCATGATGAGCCAGTGAGATGATGATGAGGCTTTCAAGTTCTAGTTTTGTTTGTGACAGAGTAGAATAGAGAAAGTCAGAAAATGAGTAAGATGATTGATCAAAGACTGGATTCCTCCCCCTGCCCCCCACCCCATGGACTTCACTGAAGTCACTAAGTCACATTACTTCTTTGCAAGATTGAATTTCTAATTAAAAGCTAAGGTTGCATTTCAGCTGGCTGAATAAGTTTTCATTATAATTGACGTGTTGTACAGGTTGAACCTTTGCAGTCAGAATCAAGCTCAATGTCATTTACTCCAAAATAACTAGATAAAGGATTGCAGTCATGTTGATCCTGATACATTGGATATTGGATAAATTGGATGATGGTGATGAATTCCTGCACTTCAACATTCACCACTAAATTCCTGCAGAAAATACCTAAAGACTATCTTTGAAAATCTGTCTTGAAAATACCCAAAGGCAATCCCTCTCTGAATAAGCTCATCCAGTGACTAAAAGTTGTGGGACCTGTGTACACTCATATAATCTACCTGGGTCATTCTGAAGCCAAATGTGGAATAGACTGATTCTCACTTTGCATTCTTTAATTAAAGTATCTCCTCCACACCCAGCAATCAAAGAAACAGCACATTTTTGAACACACAAAATTCACACCCACAATATGCACATTGCCCCCATTCAATAAAGCATGAAAATATTATTTTTAAAATGCTCATTTTAAAATGCACAGTTTCATAAATGCAGATTTTGCTATCCACGTTTTCCAGAAATGTGCCATTTTCGAAGGGGCTCACAATTTCAGATTTGTGTGAAACAATGTATCATACATGAATGTGAAACTGTTTATCGAAAAATACAGGCACAATCTTGTTTGGGGTTATGTACAGGACTTGCTCAAATGTTTTGCAACTAGAAATGAAATTTGTATGCATCCCTAATTTAAATATAGTTTCTATTTTTAAAAAAAGCAAGCAGATGGGGAAATTTCATGTGAAATTATTGGTATACAGTGTAAAGTAGGAGTCAAGGAGTGATTTTTCTCCCAAACCTCAAAAGCAGCTTCAACTGCTGAGCAACTTTGATCCTAAATATGCCATTTGACTGATCAAATATAGTGCATTCTTAAATGGGATATGTTTGCTGGATGCAAACATTGAATTCTAAAGAATACAGATGGGAATGGAAGATTTTTATTGGCATTAACAATGGAACTGCCAATCAATCTGAAATTAATCCACTTATTATTTAATAGCATTCATTGGCACACATTAGCATATCACCGAAGCTCAATATAAGAAGTTTTGATATTTTGAAGAACAGCCTGGCTCTTAGATCAAGCAGTGATCAGTACTCTAGAGAGAAGCACATATCAAATTTAGTCATCTGGACCATGTTATCCAGATTCTGTCCCCATCCAGAGACCCCCTGGGATGTCACCCCAAGAACATGAGTCCCCAAGGACACCTCTGCCTGAAGACAACAACGCACAAGGAGCCACAGAGGTCAGGATTCCAGGCATGGAGACCCCCCATTAAATATGTTCATCCACCCCTGCAGCTGTGGAGACTGAATAGGAAAACAGGC